GAGACCTGGCGGACCCGCAGCTCTGACGGCCCATCAGTCAGAACCGCCGCCCAGGTCTGTTTCTGGTTATTGTCTTTGTTAACACTAATTGGTCGGGTTCTCTGTGTTTGCCTCATCATCTCAGCAGAGAAAACGAGTCTCCTCTCCCTGCAGACATCCTGACCAGCCGGTGTGACAGGTCAGGTTGGTTCCCATCACCACCTCCCCTATCATCTGACCAGGTTCAGTATCTCAGAATGGTTTGGGTTGGAAGGGACCTTAAAGCTCATTTAGTTTCATCACCCTGCCACGGGCAAGACACCTCCCACTAGGGCAGGCTGCTCAGAGCCCCGTCCAACCTGGCCTTGAACACCTCCAGTGCTGGGCCATCCACAGCTTCCCTGGGCAGCCTGGGCCACTGATTGCCCCTGTTCTCAGTGATGGTTCCTGTGAGCAGCTCCCCTCTGAGGAGCAGGTCCTCTTCTTCCACACTGCCTGGCACCACCAACGCACGGCCACGGCACAGGGCCTGGCTGCAGTCCCACCAAGGAGCCTGGGCTCCTCTCGGGCATGTGGCCAATGGATGCAGCTTGTGTCTGTTATCCCAGAACACGTGTTCCCTCCTAATCCTGACATTGGGTTTATTCCTTGCAACACTCCAGGGTTGTGGAAGAGCAGCTGGAAATTGCCTGATATGGACCTGAGGACAGTGATCAGCAACCAGCTGGACAGGAGCCAATGTGGGCCCAGGTGGCCAAGCAGGCCACCAGCATCCTGGCTTGGGCCAGCAGGAGCAGGGCAGGATCTTCCCCTGCACTGGGCACTGGGGAGGCCAAACATCGCATCCTGGGGGCAGTTTTGGGCCCCTCCCTCCCAGCAGGACCTGGAGGGGCTGGAGCGTGGCCAGAGAAGGGCAACGGAGCTGCTGGGGAAGGGTCTAGAGCCCAAGTGTGGGGCGGAGCAGCTGAGGGAGCTGGGGGAGCTGAGCCTGGAGCAAAGGAGGCTCAGGGGAGACCTTCTGGCTCTGCACAGCGCCTGACAGGAGCCTGGAGCCGGGGGGGGTCGGGCTCTGCTCCCACGGAACAAGGGACTGGACAAGGGGGAATGGGCTCAAGTTGCCCCAGGGGAGGTTTCAGTTGTCCCTGAGGAACAATTTCTTGCCCTGGAGGGTTGCCCAGGGCTGTGCCAGGCTGCCCAGGGCAGTGGTGGAGTCCCCACCCCTGGAGAGGTATCCAGACTGAGCAGGTGGTGCTGAGGGACATGGTGCTGAGGGGACCTGGCCGTGCTGGGGGTGATTTGACCCGATCACCTTAAAGGTCTCTTCCAGCCCAACCGATTCTGTGATTCTGTGCCCTATAATCAGCTGCAATCCCTGCTGCTGACCTGGAGCAGCTCAGAGCTGGGTGTGTGGACCCCGTGGGTGGCTTCTCCTTGCCCATGGCTATTTTTTCCTGCCTTGAACAGAACCTGCTGGCTTTGTTCCAGTCCCGCTCTGTGCCAGCAATTCCCACAGCTTTTGCAGCTGGCACTTTTCTTTACTGAGCTGAATAATTTAACACCATCTGCTCCTTCACCGCTCGCAGCATCCCCCAGCCTGTCTGCACGGGGCTGACCAGCCCAGCTCCCAGCACGGCTCCCTCTGGTGACCCCGTCACTGACAATCGCTGTCTTTTTTCCTTTTCATGCCTTTGAGCAGCTGCAGCTTTTGCCTCCATGAGCTTCCACCAGCTGTGGCCGTGGGTTAACCGTCGGCTGCGTGCAGAAATCTTCCCTTGAGGTTTCTCCATAGTTCTTACAGAAAATAGCAAGTATTATTTCCCTGTTTGCCTTTTCTGAGCAATTTATGGTTTTATTCCCTTCCTCATCCCTGCTGAGGACCTGCCCTTCCTTCTGGCTGCAGAAGACACTGTCCACCTGGCTTGGTGGCCCCTTACACACATCTGCTCATCTTCCCCCACCCTGCTCCCCGGTGCTGGGGTTTGGGTCCAGGGTTAACCATGGGTGTGTTTGTGACTTTGACCCAATTCTGAGCTCTGGGGAAGGGTTTTAAACTGAAAGAGGGGAGATTTCCCTTAGATAGTGTGAAGAAATTCTTCACTGAGAGGGTGGTGAGCCCCTGGCCCAGGCTGCCCCGAGAGGTGGTCGCTGCCCCATCCCTGGCACCATCCCAGGGGAGGTTGGACAAAGCTCTGAGCACCCTGCTCTAGCTGGGGCTGTCCCTGTCCCTGCAGGCGGTTGGATGAGATGAGCTTTAAAGGTCGCTTCCCACCCAAACCAGTCTGTGTTCTATGATTTTATGAGATGAACTTGAAGCTTCTGTGTTTACATGGAGACCGAATCATCCTGGATGGATCTGGAGATGGGTCACAGTGTCTGCAGGTCTGTGTGAGAAGCTGAACTGACCCCAGCACAGAGTGTACTGAGGGCTGTAAAACTTCCCTGTCACACTCAGACACTTGAGCTAAACGGTGGCACTTCTGGTGCTTCCCCGTGGTCACAGCGAGGGTGGTGGTTATACCAGCCCAGAGCAGAGAGCCATGTCTCCACGATGCCACAGTCAGCTTTGTCCAGTGCCAGCGTCCACGTCTGTCCATGTCCAGCAGCGCCTGGACTCGATGATCTTCAGGGTCTTTTCCAGCCCAGATGATTCCATGGTTCTGTGCAAGATCAGAGCCAGCGGAGTGGTGCTGAGGGACACGGGCCAGTGGTGCCCTGGCAGTGCTAGGGGGATGGTTGGACTCCAGGAGCTTAAAGCTCTTTTCCAGCCTGAACAGCTCTATGATTCTATGACAACGTGTCCCACTCGGTACCACCAAGCCGCACGCTGGCACGGGGCCCAGTGAGGTGCAGCGGGACAAGGGGTCTCACGTGCTGGAGGGGGCAGTGCTGAAGGGTTGGTGCTGCCGTATGTGGAGGTGACCTGGAGGTGATTTTCCAGGCTCAACCATCTGCCTCTCCTGCACCTCTGGCTTCTAAAGAGCTGCAGATGGGTGGTGAGGGAAGCGTTCAAGGCCAAGTTGGATGGGGCTTTGAGCAACCTGATCTGGTGGGAGGTGTCTCTGCCCATGGCAGGAAGGTTGGAACCAGGTGTTTTTTTAAGGTGCCTTCCAACTCAAACCATTTGAGGAAACCTCTCCTGCACCTCTGGCTTCTAAAGAGCTGCAGATGGGTGGTGAGGGAAGCGTTCAAGGCCAAGTTGGATGGGGCTTTGAGCAACCTGATCTGGTGGGAGGTGTCTCTGCCCATGGCAGGAAGGTTGGAACCAGGTGTTTTTTTAAGGTGCCTTCCAAGAGGAAACTCCAGAGAAATCTGCTCTCTGGGCAAAATTCTGGCTTGAAAACCTGCAGCTCTAACAACACCCTGCAAGTCTGCAGGTAAAAAAAGCACAAAGAAAACGGCCTACAAGGACTCTAAAATCACCATTGTCACCACAACCCCTACACCGGGAAAGACCAAATTCAGTTAAGCCCGGATGAGGAAGATGATAACATCTTTCACCAGAATGACCTCAGATAAGCCAGGGGCACTCATGTGTTCCTGAAAGGCAGCAGAAGGCTTGAGATGCTCCAGCCCCGTGCTCTGGGGAGTCACCTCAGAGCTGTGCCTGGTATGGGGGGACCGCGGAAAAGGGAAGAGAACACCAAGGAAAGACGCTGAACAGAATGAGGATTGTAAAAAATGGTCTTTTAAAGAAGAAAGAAAAAATACTGGCAGCAAAAGCATTGTTGGAAAAGGATAGATTCTTTCTCAGTGCAGTAACAGACAAAAATGGAAAAGGTTTTATAATTATTTTCTAAAAACTTGAAGGAAATAAAGACCAGTGTCCGGGTCGGGCACGCAGCGGCGCAGGAGCTGCATGTAGGTGAGGTTCTCGTGGGTGTTTGGGTCGAAGAAGCCCTTGGTGTCGTCAGAGGGGTCGGAGAGGATCTGGTTCATCTCCTGGTCAAAGTAGCCGCGCTTGTAGGCAGCTTCCACGGGCAGGCGGTGGCTGTGCACGGGGTCGATGATGCCGCCGGTGGCGATCTGGGCCTCGAGCAGGCGGATGCCGTGCTCCTTGACGATGAGCTCCTGCTTCCTGCACTCGAAGCGGGTGACATTCCGGGCGG